TGGCAGGGCCACACAGGCGAACCTGAGGATGCGTGCTGAGTGGAATATGCCTGCCACAAAGGGACAGATCATGTGGCAGGGCCACACAGGTGAACCTGAGGATGCATGCTGAGTGGAATCACCCACCACAAAGGGACAAATCTCTTGTGGTTCCATAAGGAGCAGGAGCCCAGAGCGGTCACATCCAGAGACAGAAAAGTCAACAGGGCGGCCCAGGGCTGGGGAGGGCCATGGGGTGAATGGAGTGGGGACAGAGCTTTGGTCTGGGAAGATGGGGAGGTCTAGAGAGGATGGAGAATGTCCACGGTGTAAACGTGGTTATTACAGCTGAACTGTGCACCCAAACATGAATAAGACAGAAAAGGAGCAAACCCTTCCCCGGGGGTCCCACATGACATGTCCAGTGGCCCCAGGACCTTCCCAGGTGGCCCAGGTGATGGTGCCTCTCTCTCTTCCCTGCCACTCCAGGCTTCCTGGGCTCCCTGTGCACGGCCCTGTTTGTGTCGTTCGCCGCACAAGGAAAGCCGCTGGTCCAGTGGGGGAGGGACATGCTGAGGGCAGTGCCCCTGGCGGAAGAGTACTGCAGGAAGACCATTCGGCACACGGCAGGTGAGCAGCTCCCCGGCCCTGGCCAGGGCCTGGCCAGTCCACACGCAGAGCAGATCTGGACAGACTCAGCCCGTCCATTGGCCCCCAATACTTCAAGGCACGTTCGCTCTTAGATGGAACTGGGAGGACCGTCCGGGCTGTGTGAGCAGAGCTGGCCTCACAAGGCAAGCCCCATGCTGCTCCTGAGCAGTCTGCCTCTGTCCTCACCTGGGAGGGCTTTGCCTCCCCGCATGGAGCCTCAGAGAGACTTGTGCCCCTGAGGATGTTTGCTTCCAGCGGGTCCACCTGTCCCATCCACCCCAGCCTGAGGCACCAAGCTACCGGCAGCCTTTGGGCTGTGAGTGAGACCCATGGTGCGCCCTGGTAGAGCTCTGCTTCTGCCACTTTGGGCAAGCTCAGGGCTGGGTGGTCTCCCCAGGAGCCCCATGAGGCTGGGACTAGGAAATCTGTGGCCGTTCCAGAAGATGCTTCCACCCCACGGAAGGTGCCCTCTAAGAGGGGAGCGGGCGGCAGGAGGGGCACGGGCAGCTTCATGCAGCCTTTGGGATCTTTCATTGTTGAGGAAATCAGAAATAAGGTATCCAGGTTGTCCTGGAGAAAGAGGGAGGATTTGAATATAGGATCAAGTTTGCTGATTTTTCAAAGATTGAGGCTGAAGTGTTCCTGATTTTTTTTTTTTTTTTTTTTTTTTTGAGATGGAGTCTGGCTCTGTCGCCAGGCTGGAGTGCAATGATGTGATCTCAGCTCACTGCAACCTCTGCCTCCCAGGTTCAGGCGATTATCCTGCCTCAGCCTCCCACGTAGCTGGGATTACAGGTGTGCACCACCATGCTTGGCTAATTTTTTGTATTTTTAGTAGAGACGGTTTCACCATGTTGCCCAGGCTGCTGTCGAATTTCTGAGTTCAAGTGATCCACCCACCTTGGCCTCCCAAAGTGCTGGGATTACTGGCATGAGCCACCACACTGGGTCTGATGTCTTCTTGAAACAGAAAAACCAGTAACTCCCTTTATTTCCCCTGCAATGTGCAGGGGCATGTTCTGAAATGCCTTGTGGGTGCTGGTGCCCAGCTTTCCACGGGGGGTGCAGCCATGGATATCTGCCTGGACATGGCTCAGGGGCCGCTCCACCAGCAGGCCAGTGTGATGGCAGCAAGAAAGTCAGTGTCCACACGAAGTCGGCACCTGCCTCCATGGCTGCTCTGTGTCCCCCCAGCGTGGCTGTCCTCAGAAAGCGTGACTGCCGAGCACGCCTGGTGGCCACGACACATTTTATTTCTGGTGGTTTCATCCTCGTTACTGAGGGTGTGGGAGTGGTGGGGGACGGCTAAGCTGTGGCACCTGGGTTTCTTCTGAGGTTGTTGTCTGCAGTCATGGGCTGTCATCTCCCCCAGGAGATGACATCGACCCCAGGAGAGTCGCCCTAACCCATCTTTGAAACAGGTGAGCTGTAGGGCATGGGGCCACACCATTACCGAATTCACAGTATATTAACAAATGCTCTCCCTGAACTCTGGTATTCAAAATGGTTTCCTCAAACCGTTTTCTGAAGAACAGTCGGAATCATCTGACCAGCGAAACCTCCTCCGCTTCTTGTCATGGAATGTTTCCGACTATTCTTCAAAAAACTTTATTCTTTCTTTTAGGGATTTGAAGTGCACAGACACCAGTTTAAAGCTCTGAGAAACAGTCCTCCAAATAAATCATTTAATCTCAAATTTGTTTAACCCAGAGTTTTATTAATTCCCTACACAGAGCCCTTTTTAACAGAACACCTAAAATCATCCAGAGGACAGAAGTCCTGGGAGACACCCTCGGGAGACGCTGCTCTGGGCTTCCGACCGGTCCCCCGACACGGCCCATCTGCAGTGAGGCAGTGAGGACAGTTCACAGATTCGCTGTCTGCTTTTCTGTTCGGACGTCTATTTCCAAACTGGCCAAACCCCACTGACTCGGGTGAGAGGCAGTGCTTTGAGTTTGCGCCCAGGTCCACGTTGACGCCCCACCAGGAGTTTCAGGCCCTGCAGGTTAATGGGATGTGCCTGTGGCCGCTGCCCTCTTACTTCTGCATCTTTCACTTCCAATTTCATTTCATTGAACAAGACCCTGAAGGGCCTGCACTTTTACTTGTATGTAACGAAGTCGGCCCCAAGTTTCGGAGGGCCTGCGAGTCCTGGGTGCCCACAAGGCTTGTCCAGGTCCTTGCCTAGGGCCTTCCTGGCCTCCCTATGGCCTGGAGCTCTGTGGCAAGAGCGTGGCCTCCTTACTGCAGCCCTCCAGCTCCCTGCACTCTCCACCACCGCCGGGCAGACAGGTCTGTGCTTCATCATCGCGTGCAATCCATACGTGTCCCTCGGGCCCGACAGCCACCCAGCAGCCTGCACGGCTCCCACCCTCTGTGGCTCCCACGGTGCCTAGGAACAGGAGGTGGGGTGTGGCAAGCAGTGGTGCTTGCGTCAGTGCAGGCAGGAGGGCTGCGGGCCTGGGTCTGGGCAGCCTGCATGCCTACTGGCTCCACAGCAGAGTGGATCACTTGAGGTCAGGAGTTCGAGACCAGATTGGCCAATATGGTGGAACCCCATCTCTACTAAAAATACAAAAATTGGCTGGGCGTGGTGGCATGAGCCTGTAGTCCCAGCTATTTGGGAGGCTGAGGCAGGAGAATTGCTTGAACATGGGAAGCGGAGGTTAGGGTGAGCTGAGATTGCACCATTGTACTCCAGCCTGGGCAACAGAGTGAGACTCCATCTCAAAAAAAAAAAAAAAAAAAAATAGAGAAAGAAAAAGGCAGCTACAAATGTCATCATGTTCCTAATTCTGGACAGTCGCTCAGTTGTTTACTCCAGGACAGGTGCTCGGCTTCTCCACATGCTCCACGTGCCTGAAGCTGGGTGGAGGGGCATCATTGCTTCTCCTCCCTCCCTACACCTGCCCCAGTGCCCTCCACCTCCTTCCCATGGATGCCATTGTGTTCAGCTCATCCCGTTCTTTACATTTAGAATACCAGGAGCATTGGTTTTACTTTGAAGCTAAATGGCAGTTTTATTTGGAGGAGAGGAAGATCAGTAAGGACTCAGAAAACAAAGCCATCTTCCCCGACAATTATGACGCAGAAGAGAGGGAAAAGGTAAGCCTTGTACTGGAACTGGGCAATGTCTGGCACACCAGTGGTGCTCAATAAGTGCATAGCAAGTGGGTAGATGGGTGGGTGGGTGAGTGGATGGGTGAATGGATGGGTGGGTGTATGGATGAATGGATGGGTGGGTGGGTGGATGGGCGGCTGGATGAGTGAATGGATGGGTGGGTAGATGTGTGGATGGGTGAGTGGATGAGTGAATGGATGGGTGGGTAGATGTGTGGATGGGTGAGTGGATAAGTGGATGGGTGGGTAGGTGGGTGGATGGATGAATGGATGGGTGGATGGATGGGTGGACAAGTGAATGGATGGGTATGTGTGTGGTTAGGTGGGTATATGGATGGGTAGCTGGGTAGGTGATGGAAGGGCAGGTAGGTAGAAGGGTGGGTGAATGGATGGGTAGGTAAATGGGTGATGGGTGGATGGATGAGTGGTTGGGTGTATGGATGGGTGGGTGGATGGGCGGATAGATGGAATGGCAGTTCACTAGGATGGGCCCAGAAAGCTTGTGCTGTAATGTACCCAGATGCGGCTCCACTTGGGCACATCTGCTGACCCACGGCTCTCTTGTCAGACCTACAGGAAGTGGAGCTCGGAAGGCCGAGGGGGCAGACGAGGCCATGATGCCCCCATGATAGCCTATGACGCCCTCCTGGCAGCAGGCAACAGCTGGACTGAGCTGTGTCACCGGGCCATGTTTCATGGAGGTGAGATGTTCCCTCCTTAATGGCTGTGGCTTCCAGGAGGGTAGCAGCCTTCTCCTGAAGCATCCCCTCGGGGTGTCCTAGGGCCACAGGTGTTCAGGGGCCACCTGCTGACCGCCAGGATATGCATTCTTCTCTTCCTTTCTGGAACCCACTTTGGGATGGCACTGGCTTCAGGTACACCCGCTGACCTAAGGGTGCTCACGGGTGGACGTCACAGGATACAGGTGCGGCTGCAGGTTCCTGCCCGGAGCGCCACACACCCAGAGTCTCTTGCCTGGTCCACGAGCCTGGAGGGCAGTGCGGCCTTGGAGGAGGTGGAGTGGAGGTGTGGAGACTCCTGCCCTTGCTGCCGCTGCCTCAGGCTGGCCACCTTCACGGGGTTCTCTGCCCAGGTCACCGTGATCTTTGCTCTGCAGCCTCTGTGCAAAGTCACAGACTGCAGACTGGAGTTGGGTCCTGGGCTCACATCCTACTCCATCCATGCTAGCTCTGTGGTGCCCTGGCTGTCTCTGGCCGTGGAGGCAGAGGAAGAAGCCCATCAGAGTGGCTGCGGCAGCTCCAGACAGCTCCTACCCGTGAGGTCAGCCCCTGCCTTGTGGTTCTGTGAGACTGGCTGAAATTGCCTCACTCAGTGAGGCTTGGAGCTGAGCTTGACCACAGACCTGAGCTGGGAAAACACAAATGTGGCCCTTTTGGTGAGGAAGGCTCTGCACAGAGCCTGCTCAGCCCCTGGAGGGGTTTCCTCCATGACCTTGGGTCCACGGTGGGGCCGTGTGGCCTTGGGCTCCCCTCCCTCCACCTCCCTCTGCATAGTCCTGGCACCTCAGTGCTGAGACACCTCTTCACACAGGTGCCTACCCCAGGGAGGGAGAAGGGGAGCGCCTGTCCCCTCCCGCTTGGTTTTCATTTTGTTTTTGAGGCTGGAGTGCAGAGAGGCCACCTTGGCTCACTGCCACCTCCACCTCCCAGGTTCAAGAGATTCTCCCGCCTCAGACTCCTGTGTAGCTGGGATGTCAGGGGTGAGCCACCACATCAGCCGCCCCCAGCAGAATGGGGGCTTGGCAGGAGGAAGTGTTGCCCACCTCAGGAGCAACCAGCCCCAGGGGTCTCGAGGAGGCCCTGGCCAGGTGGAGCCCACTGCGACTGCCTGCGTTTGCGTTTCAGGGGAGAGCGCGGCCACCGGCACCATTGCAGGCTGCCTGTTCGGGCTGCTGTACGGCCTGGACCTGGTTCCCAAAGGCTTGTACCAGGACCTGGAGGACAAGCAGAAGCTGCAGGACCTGGGCGCGGCTCTCTACCGCCTGTCCACAGAGGAGAAGTAAAACCATTTCTGCCACTTTCCCCCTAGAGATCCGATTCCACCCCCAGGGCCCCTAGTGTCCACTCACAGCCCCTGGCTGAAGCGACCCTGTGCGGCTCCACTGCAGAGTCTGTGCCTGACTGGCCACATTTAACTCTTGATTGCCAATTTCAGAATCCTAACTGCTGCGTAAAATACACTGCGTGTCCGTGGGGAATATGTTCCCTCCTCCGTCGTCAACGCCGCGTGGGTCTGCTGCACTTGCTCACCCGCAGTCCTGGGACAGGCGGTGCATTTTACTCTCGCAGAGCTAATGCTATTTGCTCACTCACTTCAACAGCACTAACTGCGGGGGTCCGCAGGCCTCCCCACCAACACCCCCTGCAGACCCTCTGTCCGGCCTCTGCCACCAGGTGTGCGTTCCTCCTGAGGGCCAACGGGCCGCCCCCTGCCACCGCCACCCTCCCCGTACCGTGTCTGCAGTGGGTCGTGTGTGGGCCTGGACAGAGAAACAGTCCACACTGGGGCCTGCAGGACACGTACGGAAGCATTGCTCTTAACCCCACACAACTTTTTAATCACACTAGATTTTAAGAGCAACCTCTTTTGAAACAGCTCATAGAGAAAACCGGACATAAGGCCTCCTGCTGGCTCCGGCATCTCTCTCTGTTCTGCCTCAGTGGGCCGGGCCCAAAGGCACAGAAGGCCTTTCCCCTCCGTGCCTGCCCTGCCAGGCTCACTGACCGAGAAGCGCTGTTCCTGGTATGAGGTTGTCTCTCAGATTCTTGGAAAAGAGATCACTTGCTCTTGTTTAAAATAAATTGGACATCATTTTTCCACACAGCATCTGGTGTGAATAAAATAGCAGTTGACCGATGTTTACCACTGTGCTTGGGCAGCTTGGCTGGAGCCTCTCTTTTTGTTGTGATTTCATTAAAGGGCTCGCCTCTGGGCAGAGTTGGGGTCCCAGGGGAAGGCCCGGCCTCAGGGAGAGGAGGGGGCTGGGGCAGAAAGCCGGGTTGGAATCTGTGCCGGCAACGGAAATGCAAACCCCTACCCTTAAGGGCTCCATCTTCTTTGAATGGATGATTTGAAAGGGGAAAATGGTGGCGTCTTTATACTCCCACTTGAGATTCCTGTGTGAGTGGACCGGCGAGAGAGGCTGCTGGACCTCGCAGGTGGGGCCGTGGACCCCAAGCCCAGGTACACTGGCTCGAGGCTTCCCGGACAGGCCCTGCTGCAGCTCCCAGGGGCCTCACTCCCCGCCCACCTCCCTTGGGTGGAAACCACCCCTGCATTCATTCAGTAGGGGGCGCAGGCGTGTCTGGAGGAGGCTTTGTTTTTTCCCTAGAGATGCCCGTTCACTGTGTGGGCGTGTCCACGCTGACTGAGGAATCTGTGACCTGTGCTGCACAGACTGCGGCAAAGTGGCTCTGTGCTGTGCTTCCCAGTAACTGGACTAACTGCGCTGCTTCTGGTGCTTTAAGTCAGGAGAGGCAGAGAGACAGGCACATGCGGGTGAAGGGCCTCACGTCATACATGTCCACGCGACGTGGTCCCAGGACCCGTGGGTGTGGGGAAATTAACTGAGAATTACCTTTCAGGAAAAGAAACCCAATTCAGGTAAGTCGGGACTTTTGCTAGCATAAGTAACACAGTAGCACCCGTGTCGCCAGCTCACCTGAAACTGGCCTTCCCTCTCGGCCCCTGCTGTGCGGAAGAGAAGGCCAGCTTGCAGGAGCACGGCGCCGCTGGATCCAAATGACGGTGGACCCGGTCTCCACCCGCAAATCAAACTCCTCGTGAGAATCAGAAAGTGAGTCTATTTACAAACTGATTATAGATTGAAACCCAGGAACACAAAATCCACAAGCATCGTAAACAAAAGCCGGCACCGCCTTGCTCCACGTTCGTGTGACAGAGAGGCCCAAAAGTCCAAAAGAAAAACAAAACCGTAGAAAGCACTGAGGGAACACTGGGCCCACTCTGCCGCTTAGAACGGCACTGACGGGGTTCCTTTTGTTATAAAAGTGACATGTGCACAGCTTCGGCAATCCAAATGCTGTTAACAGTGGTGTGCGGCGAAAGCTGCTTCCAACCACCCACAGATAACAAGGCCACGGTCACCTGAGCCTCCCTCTGGGAGTTCCCTGCACGCACACACCTGGGCTGTGCATCTGTGCGTAAGACACACCTGCATGTGCGATTTCTTTGCCCAAAGGAAGTTAGTATGTGTCATAGTTTGCTTTTGGCTGTTTTCATTAAACTAAGTTTTAAAATATTTTTCTGTATCACCATACATAGACCGATTCCCACCTTTTTAACTGCTGCCTAGTATTCCACTGTACTCCTGCGCCATAATTCAAATACCCCGTGGATGTGGCTCTCAGTGGTTTCCATTGTGTGAGTGGTGTTTCTAAACACCTGCTCTTTATGGCAACTTCCAGTGTTGCTTCTCATGTCTTCTGAAAAGGAGTTGATCTCTCCCTACAGCACAGTGATGCCGTAGTTTATTCTAGGATGCATTTTTGTATTCAATCTTTCTAAAACTGTGGTGCATCTTATAATGTACAGTGTCCCTAGTTTAAATGATGGAATTTTTATTTTTCTTTCTCCAAGACATTCTTATGAAATAAGGTGTGGCCAGGTGCAGCGGCTCATGCCTGTCATCCCAGTACTTTGGGAGGCCGAGGCAGGAGGATTGCTTGAGCTCAGGAGTTTGAGACCAGCCTGGGCAACATGGCAAAACCCTGTCTCTACAAAAACAAAAGTTAGCTGGGTGGTGTTGGCACCTGTAGTTCCAGCTCTTTGGGAGGCTGAGGTAGGAGGATTGTCAGAGCCTGAGAGGTTGAGGTTGCAGCGAGCTGAGATCACATCACTGTGCTCCAGACTGGGTGACACAGTGAGACCCTGAAAAAAAAAAGAAAGTATAAAGAAAGGGAGGGAGGGAGAGAGGGAGTGGGGAGAAGGAAGGAAGGAGAGAAGGAAGCAGGGAAGGAAGGAAGGGAAGGAAGGAAGGAAGCAGGGAGGGAGGGAGGGAGATACCCAAACTGATGTTCAGTCCAAACATCTGGGCTTTAAAAGCTCCATCATTAAAATTCATTCCAAGGGTTGCGTTAGGCTGGAAATGACTTTCCAGTCTGAGTGCAGGCACTGCAGCTCCCCTGGTTAAAATCCTGGGGTGTAGACGCATTTCCAGTTAACGCGCAGAAATAAGTTATCAGTTCACTCAGTCTGTTGCGGGAAAAGTATTAACACAGGGTCTTAAAGAACAGTCTGAGTCTTCTCATGATTCGTGTGCCGCGCCCTGAGCCGTGGTCAGCAAACAAGGGCTTAGACAAAGGCAGGGACGGCGTGTGATCTGGGCGCTCTGTGTCCAGCACCACACAGATGGTGGACATTCTGTCTGATGGCCACATTGGCAGCCCCCAGGGTCTGAACCAGCCTGTGGTCCCATGGGCAGCATCTCTCTGCCTTCTCCACCCTCCCTGCCCAAGGAGGGCGATTGTCCAGGATTCCCTACTCTGTCTCTGCCTCGGGCAGGACAGGCTGGACGACCTGGGGCCCTGGTGGTGCCGGTGGGGACCATTACCAGCCGGGACATCCGGGGGCAGCCCTGTCTTGTCCATACACCAGGAAACTGGGGAGCACGGAGTCCCAGGGGCCCTGACAGCGGGCACTGGTGCATCCCCGGGTTCCGCAAAGCATCGCCTCGCCCAGGACACGTCTGCGCTGTCAGAGTCCTTGAATGCCGCCTGTCACGTCGCGGCTTTGCTTTCTCCCTCTCCTATGTTAACGATTCATTTTTAAGTTTGTTTCAAAAAAAACTAGGTCCAGCAACGCGCATGCCCCTTCGCCCGGAGCCAGCAGCTGTTAATATTGGTCCCACGGCCTGATTATACTCTCTTCCCACGGCACACATGCGTGCATGCACACACGCACACTCACACATATGCACACACACGCACACACAACCGTTTCTGAACCATTTGAGAATAACTTGCCAACCCTATATCCCTTCACCGTAAATATTTCAGGTGAATTTCCTCAGAAAACAGCAAGCTCTTCTGTAACCACTGTTTGATTATTCAGAATCAGAATTTAGCCTTCAATAATGCTATTATCCTACATAACAGCATTCTGTTGCAGCATAATATGCTATAGTGAATTTTATATTGTGTTAGAACTTTTGCCCATTGCTTCATCAGTGTGCTTTATAATCTATTTATTTGTAGCACAAATTTGTGACAGCAGCTCATGAACCTGATACCCTGCGTGCCCCACAGGTACTGAGAGGCACGAGGCAGTTGCTGTAATCAGGCAGTGGAGAACATCCCCAGAACCCTCTGCTGACTTACTCACGTCTCAGGCCTGGAGGAGTGTCCGGTACTCATGGCCTCAGTCAGCCCGGGATGGACAGCAGCCCCTTCGTCAGTCACAGCCGGCAGTCTAGACACCCCTTCGTTGGTCACGGCCAGTTGACCAGACGCCCCTTTGTGGGTCCAGCTAAGTCAGTCACAGATAAGATCTTGTGTAGGTCACACAAGGATGTTCAGGCCAAGGCTGTGGGGTATCCTGGCCCAAAAGGCTGCATCCATCACTAGCCAGATTTATTTCCAGGAAACACAGATACTCAGGTTCTCTGGCTGATTCATTAGTTCAGTCTGAACGATTTGCCACCTTGTTACAAAAAATCAACAGGGAACAGACACTTGTTCTCACCTTACAGGGTGGGCAGTGACCGTGGCAACGATCCTCAGAAGTTGCTGGGGAGGGACTGGCCAGATGGGGTCTGCTGCGGTCCAGGGCCGCTCCAGCCACCCTGCAGGACCCCGACCGGGCCCCTGGCCTTCCGGGATTTTTAGAAAGTAAAATCCCTTGGCGTTAGATTTTCTTCTTCATAAATCTAATACCAGATTCTTTCATAGTCACTTCTCAGCCTTTGGGCTAAGATCAAATACAGATTTATTTGTAAAATGATGAGCCTCAGCTTAAAGGGACTTGTGTTATTTAAAACCAANGCCCGCCTCAGCCTCCCAAACTGCTGGGATTACAGGCGTGAGCCACCACACCTGGCTAGCCTGCTTTTCTTTTCTCTTTTTGAGACAGAGTCTTGCTCTGTCACCCAGGCTGGAGTGCAGTGGTGCAATCTTGGCTCACTGCAACCTCCGCCTCGTGGGCTCAAGCAATTCTCCTGCCTCAGCTTCCTGAGTAGCTGGGACTACAGGCGCCCGCCACCACACCCAGCTAACTTTTTTTGTATTTTTAGTAGAGATGGGGTTGGACCATGTTGTCCAGGCTGGTCTTGAACTCCTGACCTCAAGTGATCTGCCCGAGATGGCCTCCCAAAGTGCTGGGATTACAGGCATGAGCCACTGCGCCTGGCCCCAGCCTGCTTTTCTTTTTTTTTTTTTTTTTTTGAGGAGTCTCCCTCTGTCACCCAGGCTGAAGCGCAGTGGTGGGACCTCGGCTCACTGCAACCTCCACTTCCTGGGTTCAAGTGATTCTCCTGCCTCAGCCACCTGGGTAGCTGGAATTACAGGTGTGCACCACTGCACCCAGCTAATCTTTGCACTTTTCTTCAAGACGGTTTCACCATGTCGGCCAGGCTGGTCTTGAACTCCTAACCTCATGATCTGCCCACCTTGGCCTTCGACAGTGCTGGGATTACAGGCGTTAGCCACTGCACCCGGCCCCTCTTTTTATAACATTAATTTGGGGGACCCTGCCTAGTGGCCTGGAGTTGGCAGTTGAGCCCATGCCCCGCTCGCCTCTGGGCAGAACCTCGTCAGCCGAGCAGTCGGGCCATGGAGGCCGCTTCTTCGAGCCTTTGGTTAAACCCTCTCCAGGTCCACACTGTGCTCGGGACCACCTCTCAGACAGGCGGCTCTCACCATG